TTTTCTGAAGAAGGGTCTAGGCCCGAAACGTCAGCCTTCCTGCTCCTATGATGCTGCTTGGCCTGCTGTGTTCATCCAGCTCTACACCTTGTTATCTCAGATTCTCCAGCATCTGCAGTTCCTACCATCTCAGTTAAATCTAAGAGTTGGGTGGGAAGGTGTGGAAGCTCAAACTCAATGGAAACAACAGGGAATGGAAAGAAACAATGAAAGTTTAGGTTTGGCTGAGGGTGGTTAGCCTAGGTTGACAGGCTGACCCTTGACTCACTCTGCGAAGTGCTACCTATTTTGCTTTCCATCTTCATTTGAATCGCAAATTCACAACGGAAATGAAAAATGGCTGCCACCACACCCGGAATGGGTGGAGTGTGTTTTTGTTTACTATCTGAGGGAGCAGGATCTACTTGTGAGCTCCGTGAATCTGTTCAAGGGACAATTACATTAATCAGACATTTAATTAGCACAGGTTAAAGACAACTATGATTACAGAAACCTGGATCTGAACCACATGTAGTGATCAACTTTGTCAAATACATGTCCTGGCCACAAACAATCTTGACCATTTGCATAGAAGATCTGGAGAGAAATGAAGTAGTTTTGGTCAAGATTCATCCAAGTAGCTCCATGATGCAGGCCTCTGCGCCCTACGATCTGCATACTGAGACAACCATCAACTATACCTGGAGGACCATCAACTTGGTGAAAGACACTCTGCCCAAAACTTCTTGGCCTTCCAGCATAAAAAACTGACCTCAACTAGGTGTTGCAGACTGGCACATTCCAAGGTCCAGAACTATGTGCTGAGGGACGCACTAAAATTTGGGCCAGCTGCTGCAAAGGCGCAGTGGGGAAAGACCACCATATAAGTTCTTTCTACCAAACTATAACAAGGGTCTATTCAGCTGTCAGACCTTCAGTTCCTCAAAATAAACATCAATAGTTTCCTGTATAAGTAAAAAATGCCTTTTTTTAACAACTGTAGTGAAGTTCTGAGAAATGTCAAAATTCCAATGTTTTGTTCCCTTTCTCTCAAAGACCATATAGAAGTGATTTGTATGTGCTTATAAATGATTTATATGATTAAATGTTATTTTTGAAATAAAAAGAACTTGACTATGTCACTGTTAATACAAAATGATCGTAGTCATCTCTGTGAATCAGAAGTAATTACAGGTGACCTTTAAAGTGTCACCTTGGCCACAATTCACAAAGACAATCCAAGGTCTTACAGGCTTTCCTCTCACCTTGAACTGTAATTCTTTGACAACATGCTTTTATGTACAATGCTGCCTTTCTTCAGTATGTGAATGGTGGGGGTGAGAGGACAAGGTTTCAGTAATTCTACTGAACTTAACAATCTCCCACTGTACTTGTGCAACATGGCTTGTGCTGTATACAATGGAATAAGGGCCCCTATGTCAAAGTCCATGCACAGGCATCCCATGGCCACTCCTGTCACAATTTTCCATGACCCCCACTATATTAAGGACAATACTAAACCGTAATTTGTGTTCGATCTGATTGCTGACTGCTTACAATAATAAGGAGCTGATTTCCTTCAATATTCTCTGCATACGCTCATTGCAACCACAAGCAATGGATTCAGTCCAAAACAGGGGTGCAACAAAGGCACAGAGAAATTGAGGAAGAACAAATATGCCAGCAGCAGCCAAACATGCACATGCACAATGTTTTTTCCATTACAACAGTGAATACTTCATCGGCAGTAAAGTACTTTGACATATTCAGTGCCAGTACAAATAGCTATATAAATATGTCTTTTCTTTTTAATTCTTTTATGTCTCCATTCATTCCATTATTTCCCTGTTGGTGATTGGCCCTCTCAGCATTAAGTATACAAATCCCCTTGCCACCTCTCACTCTCTTTTCAGATGTTGCTCTAAACATTGCCCACTTATACTCTTGGGCTGCTTCTGTAGATTTACATGAATATGTGTCTCATTCAAATCCCACGAAGCAGCTTGGGATATTTTACTACTTTAAACGCACAGTATAAAGCTAATTGTTGTTGTTCTTGTAGGTGCTGTATCATGAGAATTTTGGTTGCATAAGAATCAAATCCTGCACTCCAATTCCAGGAATGAAAATCTCAGGGATCCTGCAGTCATCTTCATCAAAGACCAAAACATTTGCATCACTTTACCACCTCCTCTGGTCATGGAATTCTATTGCAAGTTTTAGAACAGATTCCATCGTCCATAAAGGACAAGCTGGAGAAGCTGCATGTGAAATATTGTTCTATGTTGAAAATCACTTCCTTTTGGAATTAAATCTTCCGGTTCACTTTACAATATCTTGCCAAGAGATGAGAGTTTGACTGATTTTGGAATCCATGCACTTGATATTGGGTCAAATTTTATCAGGTGCTGACAGCAGAATTTGCAGATAGGTGGAAGTGGAGCTCTCACAAGGAAAATTAGAAAAAAGAAATGAGTTAGAAATGAATGTCACATTCTCACTTCCTCTCAATTTATCAGGAGGAAGTTTCTAAAGGCAACGTGCCAGTCAGCAATGGGAAATTAATTGAGGTGCAGGTATTTTCTAAAGGCAATGGAATGTTATCAGTGGTGCATTGCAGCCACACAGTGAGGGCAGCTTTTCAACACTGAGGAGACAAGTACACAGTGGGAAGTCAGAATGTCATGAAAGTGAGATGGAGCCTGCATGTTAATGGCACAAATTGGCAAGCTTGACCACAGAGACTTGCAGTTGCGTGATTACTTCCTTGAGACTGATGTCACTGCAAATGCTGGTGGTGAAGAAGTCATCTTGCAGAGAGATCTAAGTCTTAAAAGGAAGGAAATAAAATAAAAGATGGAGAAACGCAGCTATTCTGGCAGCATCTGTGGAGGGTGAAATAAAGTTAATATTTTGAG